TTAGTACGACGAACCCGAAATAACCCCATCGTTCTAGCCATTCTCTATGTCATCACTGATTCTAGATTTTGGAGATTATAGTATTGAAGGACTAGAAAATTAGAAAATCTAGGATTCTTAATTTAGGACTCTAGTTTCGTGAAAAAATTGATGATTTAAATGTTTACATATGCAAAACGACGTCATTTTGTTTAGATGTTAACAGACGTTTACATGTTTAATAGTTTGCTTTTTTTGAGGTTTCTAAAATGGTTTACTCAATAAAAATAATGATAGTTAAAATGACAAATATTTGAAAATTGAAACATATTTTTGCTAAAACACAAGTTGTATTTGTTTTGGCTTTTTATTTCCTGAAAAATCGAGTAAAATAAGCATTTTCGAAAAAAATAAAAAATAAAAGTATTTTTGTGAATATTTCAAATTTCTGGGGTGAATATGATAAATGAAATTTTCCAAGAATCATGGATTACTTTTGCATTTTATTTTATTTATTTATTTTTTTTGTTGAAATTTTAAATTGATTATCAACAAAAGAAAAAATACAGGCCACTGAAGTTTATGCTTTCGAACAAGAAACACAAGTCATAGAGGGGATAAAGAAACTCAGATTGCTAAGAATAATTCCTAGCAAACCATCACTGCATCATGGCGCTGTAGAAGTCTGGTTTCATGTGACGGAGAGAGGAGATTCTGTTCCTAATGGTCTTATCAATGTAACGGACCATTTGGCCAGCGCTGAGGGGATTTCCATGGTGGCACGTACTGTTTCTTTCGCGCCAGATGATATGGATGGTAGCTTAGAAAGCAAGCTTGAGGATGCAGGTGTCTATCTCGTTCCTGCGACGAGATAGGAGGGTTGCGACGGTAATTTCCAATCTGGGTTCACCCTGGACCCCAGCATGAAGCCGACGAGATCAATCCAAACCGTAAAGGAGTAAGGGCATGCAAACAAAAGATGGTCGTGAGAGGGTTGTGACGGTGATATTCCAATCTGGGTTCACCTTGGACCCCAGCATGAAGCCCACGAGATCAATCCAAACCATAAAGGAGTAAGGGCATGCAAAGAAAAGATGGTCGCGAGTTTCATCCGGTTCACCACAGAGGAGACACGGTTGAATACGCCCCCAAGCTCGACTTCACGCACCCATAGACAGTTTATCATGAAAGGCTAACATGTAATGTAAGCAAACCGAGGTATGCTCTGTTGAAACCAAAGAATTCCGCACCAAGGAACTTTAGGGTAGTGAACCCTGAGTTGTCCGAAGTTGCTTTCCTTAAGAAAGTAGACTTGTAATCCCCATCCCCATGACGCCATAGGCGACGATCATCAGCTGCGTCCTCCGCCGGAGCTGGAACAGAGTTGATGCAGGCTATCATCGCTCGTAGGTGATAGCCACGACACCGACGAATGTTCCATTGTCCACCAGAGGCCGCCTCCGAGACAGTCGCATAGCGGTGGATGCCCAAGACTTGTGTTCCTATTGTACCTGTGATGTTTAGGAGCCGTCCCACACTAAGCCAATTATCAAACCAAAACAGTGTGGTCTTACCATTGCCAATATCAGACCGGAGAAAGGATGCTGCGGCGTCCCTAAGCTTCAGCAATTTCCGCCATATCCAGGAGCCCGCATACTTGTCATTTACATCCCAAAAACTATGAGACTGCAATAGATAAGCCTTCGTCCAAGCAACCCAAAGGGAGCCTGAGTTTGTGAGAAGTCGCCAGATCAGGCTGAGCGCAAAAACTCGTGAGGTGTCCGTGAGACGTCTCAGGCCTACACCTCCCTCTTCCTTAGGTCTGCACACATCATCCCAAACAAGCTTAGCCTTTGTATGCGTATTAGGTGATCCCAAACAGAGGAATGCAGCACACATCCCTTCAATAGTACTCAAACAACTCTTTGGGAGGCGAAACACAGAGCACCAGAAGTTAGTGATGCTGCCAATGACTGTTTTTACTAGCTGCAAACGACCGGCATACGAGAGAGAGGAACTAGACCATGACACCAGACGTGTGCGTATCTGATCAATCAGAGGTTCGTAATCTGTTTTTGTCATTGTCTTTGTGGTGAGAGGGAGGCCAAGGTAGTGCACAGGTAGAGATTCTGCTGGTATCCCCAATCTATGAACTTCATTCTTGAAGATGGAGGATTTAGCAGGGTTGATCAGCAAACCAGAGATACTTGCAAACTCAGAAATAACCCAGAACACACCTCTAAGCGAAGCAGCTGCACCATCAGTAAAAATCATTAGATCGTCCGCAAAACTCAAATGTGTAAGGTTTACTTACCTTGCTACACGAGGGGTGGAACCCGATACGCTGAGATTGAGCCGCCGTATTAAGCATTTTTGACAACACATGTATGGCAATGACGAATAAATATGGAGATAGCGCGCAACCTTGACGTAATCCCCGTTCACTGCCAAAGAATCCTTCTAATTTGCCATTCACAGAAACAGAGAACGCTGCAGTGGAGAGACAAGTATGGACCCAATGAACAAACATTTCCGGAATGCCCATCGCAAGAAGTGCGTTCGTAATAAAAGACCAATTAACAGAGTCAAAGGCTTTTGAAATATCGAGCTTGAGAATAGAGCGAGGCTGGATAAACTGTTTCTGTTAATCCTTGACAAGTTCAGTGGCTAAGAGAACGTTTTCAAGAAGCAGCCGACCTTTGACAAATGAACATTGGTTGGGTTCAATCATCTCTGGAAGCAACACTTTGAGCCTGTTTGCGAGTATCTTTGAAATCACTTTGTATAAGATATTGCAGCAGCTGATAGGCCGGTAATCCTTAATCTCTTTCGCATCACCATGTTTAGGAATAAGCGTTAGAATAGTCGCATTAACACCTCGAGGCAGAAATCCATACATGAAGAATGACTGAACCGCTATGACAAAGTCGTGTTTTATAATATCCCATGAAGCGCGGTAGAACTCAGCCGGGAAGCCGTCAGGCCCAGGAGCTTTGCTGGATGGCATAGAGAACAGCACATTTTATATATCTGCCTCAGATACAGGATGAGTGAGCAGCAGAGCCGTGTGTGCAGGGCAGCGGAAGTCCAAGAGATCTGAAAGAGCTGGAGCTGTCGTGGAGTTTAGCTGAAGAGGACCTTGCTGGAGAAAACTTTCAAAATGTGCAGCAGCTACCACTTTAATCTGTTGAAAATCAGTAATCACTTCTCCAGTAGGTAACCTTCCTCAAGCTTGGTGCTGAGTAGATGGAATCTAGACGGCGAACTGGTGCTGGGGGAAACTATCACCGGACTTCTTCCTGATTTTCCATTGTTCCTACGGCCAGAAGGTGAAAGCCAAGGTTCTTCCTTCTCTTGGGACCGAAGGTCTTCCGGTTGCTTGTCTGATACACAAACATTGACCGTCAAATCTGGCTCACAAGCATTCACTTCACTATCCCTCAACAAAGATTTTGTGGCGCTTGCTACATCCGCAGCCAAGTGAGTGACCTCCAGTAGTGGGTTCGCTATATCAATAGATTTTGAGTTCCCATTCGCATCCACTGACCCTGGTTGTAAGACACCAGTATCATCACCCTCCTTGGCACTCTCCATCTCTTTCTCTTCCTCCGTTTTCTCTTTTATGCGCTTATTTTTTGAACAATTTTTGTCTGTGTGCCCTCATTTTTGACATTCGATACAACGTGGAGGTAACCACGGATAACTTACAGAGATTTTTTCACCCGAGCCTTTAACCTTTATACACTCTGGTGAAGGTTCCTCTAAGTTCATCACGACTAGCAGACATGCAACATCGAGTCGAACACAACGTTCCGTGTTGGGATGTAATTTCACAGAACGCCCAATGGTGTCCCCAAAGAAAGTAAGACCATTGTGAGAGAACAGGTGATCTGGTACCCCTTGGAGATCCACCCAAAGCGGGACAGCGGTGAGGTCAGGTTGAGCAAAGGCCGTTTTTGGACTCCACTCACGCACCACAATAGGTATATCAGAAATATGCCAAAAGGTTCTTTTCAGAACCCGATCAATGAGTTGCGGATTGTCAATACGGAACAAGACTGTTCGAGGACTAATGAATTGTGCATCGATCTTTGCAGGCCTCTCTGGAAAAGACCAGATCCTGTTAACAATAGCATGAACCTTTCCGATATGGGGAGCATCTCCCATGAAGTGACCTACAATATATGCAGACCACAGAGGCTTGGAATCTGACAGTAATGCATCTGGTAAATCAACTACGGCAACGCCTCCTTGCAAATCGGCTACATGAGAATAACGAATCACATGAGAACCTTGTGCTTCCAGGTCACGCGGACTTGGAGCAACGTTGGGAGTAGGACTTTGCGGGGGTTTGAGGAACAGCATGGTCGTTCGGCAGGACGGCTGGTGTTCGCTAGGGTAACTTTTCCTCTCTTTCCCTTATTGGTTGAAAAGTGGTTATTTTAATTTTCTCATTCTTTTTGGATTTTTGGAACAATACTTCATCGAACCAAACCATATGAATGATCTGATTTATAGTTTTCATAACAAAGTAGCTAAGAATAGAGAAAAAAGTATTTCTTCTGTTTCATTTTATTTGTCATTCTAAGTTTTTACACACATATTAAGAAAACATTTAATTTTATATATTTTCAAGATAAAAACACAATTACCTATACATCTAAACACTTTTCAACTAATAGAAAAATAGAATATCATATAAAACTAATAAATTTTGACTCAAAATTTTAAAATAACACTTATTTTAAAACGAATTTTATTCTCTGGAACGACAATTAATTTGAAACATAGGAAGTATGTAAACCAAATTGGTCACTGTCTAAAAAAAAAAAAGAGAAACTAGTAAATAAAAGGATCAGAAACGAAAACAAAACTGTTTTTTTTTTTTCTTTCGAACGCGTTTCAATTTCCGTCTCTCTGTTTCCACGATTCACGCCTTGACCGTACCCAATTTAATCGTAGATAGGATCTCTGATTTTCAAACAATTTAGTGAAAGAGAACGATTTACTCACGAGAGAAGATGAGTTTTCAAGATTTAGAAGCTGGACGAGGGAGATCGAGGAAGATCAATGGCGGTGGTGGTCGGCAAGACTCGACGCAAGCCGTCGCTTCTGGAATATTCCAGATCAATACCGGAGTTTCCACGTTTCAGCGTCTCGTTAACACGCTTGGAACTCCCAGAGATACCCCGGAGCTCCGTGATAAGCTGTAATAACAATAAGTTTTGGAAAATTCAAATCCTTTTTCTAATTGATTTGTGGAAATTCGATTTTAAATCGAAATTGATTTTTGGGTTATAGGCACAAGACACGGTTGCATATAGGGCAGCTTGTGAAGGACACGTCAGCTAAACTTAAAGAAGCTAGTGAAACTGATCATCAAAGTGGTGTTAATGTAAAGTTACAATCTTTTTTTTTTTATTTGGTTTATGTGAATCTTATCAAGTAGTTTTTGTTTGTTAAATGTGTAGGCAAGTAAGAAGATAGCAGATGCTAAGCTTGCAAAGGACTTTCAAGCTGTGTTGAAAGAGTTTCAGAAAGCTCAGCAAACTGCTGCTGAAAGAGAAACTGCTTATGCTCCTTTGGTGCCTCCTTCTGATCATCCCTCTAGGTATGTGACTTTTGTGTTTATGTTAAGCTCAGATTCTCAATTAATGTGATGATCATAAGTAAAAGCATCAACCTTGTTAACTGTTTGTATAGTATATACTCCTTTAGAGCCCTGGAGTCGCTCATCCATCTAGGTTATAGTTTGTTATGTGAAGACAGTTTATGTTGTTCTTGATGATATGAAGTTGGTCAACTGTTTGTCTGGTTTACTCCTTCAATGAATCTTCTGTATAGTTAAAAGTTGTTATCATAGATGGTGATGAAGAAGGTTTATGTTGTTCTTGGTGGTTTCGTGTATGTTAAGCTATGTTCTTAATCAATTATGTTTCTTACTTGTGTGTGCTTGTCATATTAATAGCTATTCAGCGAGTGAAGCAGATAAGATCTCGGAACAGCGGGTGCAAGTTATGGAGTCGAAAAGGTTTGTTTGTGATACCAGATATAAAAATCTTTCTACGCATCTCTATTCGTTTTGTGTTGCAAACTAATCTTCCTCTTGTTGGATTGTTTTGCAGGCAGGAGCTTGTATTGTTAGACAACGAGATTGCATTCAACGAGGCTGTGATCGAAGAAAGAGAGCAAGGGATACAAGAAATCCATAGTCAAATTGGCGAAGTTAACGAGATATTCAAAGATCTTGCGGTTCTGGTTAACGATCAAGGAGTCATGATAGGTAAAAGAAATCTATTTAAACTCAATAAGAACATGCCCTCAATATGTCTACTGTTGTAGAGCTCAATTTCTCTTTATTTTGCAGATGATATCGGTACTCACATTGACAACTCTCGAGCTGCAACTGCTCAAGGAAAGTCTCAGCTTGCTCAGGCCTCAAAAACACAAAGATCAAACTCATCTCTGGTAAGAATGCTACCTTAAAGATGGGTTTAGGCCACAGTCTAATTTCTTGAACTTGTTTACATGCAGACATGCTTACTCTTGGTGATATTTGGCATTGTACTTCTGATCGTGATAATCGTACTCGCAGCTTGAGTTTGTAAAGCAAGAAGAAGTCTTTTTGAATATTGTTCATCGATCTTAAAGCATCAATGACTGAATTTACTTGGTATATAACGTAGTTTGCAGACAAACTTTAGAAGTTGGGTTTTGTATTCGTTTGATTTGGTTCGGTTGTAATATAGTGCGAGCGTGGTTTTGTTGTGCAAACTGTGTTGGAGAGTGAAAGTCTGTTGCTTGTGCTTTCTCGTATCATGCAAGAGATTGGTTTCGAAGCTGTTTAATATTTGCCCAAATGGTATTTTGATATTCGAGAGGAAACAAAATTACAAAGAAGACCAAAAGCTGATTCATGACTGCTTTGCTTTCTTACAAAATTCAACCTTGGAGCTCAAGACAGACGCAACAGTTATCGAAAACGCGGATAAAACCGCAGCTACAAATGTAACAACAGAAACATACTCTGTATGACTCCTGATTCTAGCAGGGATTTCCCAGACAACGGATCTGGTTTCGGTTTTAGATCCGGCAGTGGACAAAACCCAACATCTTCTTTGTCTTGTCCCTGGTTAGGTACATGTCTCGAGCACAGGAACAAGTATGGCTCTCCAAACTCCACTCTCTCTCCAAGAGGCTATAGCTATAATAAGCATAGAAACAATCAAAACAAGACATACAAAATATCCTTATTAAATCTGAGATAGAGTGATAAACAATGTACCTGATACCGAGCATGTAAGGGAAGCTTTACACTGATTTCAGCATCTCCGGAGCTGATATCAACATGAATCTCCACGACATACCTGTTTGATCTGAACGAAGGCTGCTCAAGATCCGTGTCTCCAAACACAGGTACGTCTCTGAAAGCTGAAAGATATTGCAAAAGAATCCCATCAGAGATACTCAGACTGAAAGTGTAAAAAAAAAACTTTTTAAAACTTGTTAGCCATAATATATTGGGTGTAGTAAAGAACTTATAATCAAAACTCAAATGTTATAAAAAAGAAAGTGGGTGTGGACATTTACCTAGACCCGAAAACTTAGATTGGAACAGCCCAAAAATACCTGTTCCATAGCTGAATAGAGAATTTACAAGTATAGAGAATTTACAAGTATCTAGTTTGGTCCAAATTTTTTTTTTTTTATTAACTTAAGAATATTCCAGACCCCATAGAGAGGCCTAGACTAATCTTCAAGGGAAGGTGCAGCCCACGGATAAAACCCTCTCTCCGGGTATTTAAATGGGTTCAAAAGCATGAACTCATATCCGTGTTAGGTGACTAGGAATAATTATGCATTAATTTCGCATAGCATGTGAGTCGAAACTGAAACATGTTAGTGTCCCTATCCCTTATCCTTACCACTTGACCACAAACACCCGGTCTGGTCCAAAATTCTTTTATCAGACCTAAAACGTTCCAGATCCAGAAAACCTAACCGGTAAGAATTGATTTATATCCGATCTAAAAGTATAAATATCTAAAACTATGACATTATATATGTATTTTCTATATTTTAATTTTAAGATTTAGTTTTAATATTTTTTTGTTTGTAATCTTTTTTGTTTTGTAAAATTTCTAAGTAGGATGAAATTTTAAATGTTAAAGTTACAGTTTAAATATTTTAATAGTTTGTTTTTATATAGTGTATCCCTGGTGGTTTTGACTTTAGCACTTCTTTCATCAATTGATCTTTTCTGCTCGGATCACCCTACTAACTGCTCTCTTCTTTTCGGATCTTGTATGTATTTGTTTTGAAATGTAGTCTGTGAGCAAAACGAGTCTGAGCTGTGTTGATCCTTTCCTCTCCAGCCCTTTTGCACATATCTGCACATATGAAACTTAAGAACAAAATGCATGAGGACAAAACAAAGGTTTTAAGGTTCAGGGTGGGAACTAGCTAAAGATGAGCTAGCCACTCAGGATCAACAAGATGGATAGAAAGAATTAAGATGTCCTGAGTGTAATCTTGTTTCCCTAATCTAACTCCCATAACAAGAAGAATTAAGTCAATATTAGGTTCAAGTTAGATGGAGTTTAAGTCTTTCCAGAGTAACCTCTACAAGCAGAAATCTTCTGGAGAGCAAGGTGAGATAAAGTCAGGATGTTCCAGGTCCAAGTGTGCGTCTTTCGTCACTGCTAAGGTCACTGAATAAGATAACTTAAAGCACGAGGTGGTTAATGATTATCAAAATAAGGTCCTAATCCCCACAAGTTTTGACTCAATAAAAAAATATCAAAATGACTCAAGATTGACACGAACATAAAAGCCAAAAGAAATAAACGAGTTAGTAAACGACAAAGACCTTCCCCCAGACTTACTTCACCACGTCTCGGTGTGAAAATAAACCAGAGAGAAGATTTAAACAAAAATACAAATTATTTTGTTCGAGATACTTACCTGGTGCGGAGCAGCCTGACAGAGCAAGACGCGGTTGCTCCGAAATGAGAGCAGCCACCTGCTTGCTCCCGTCAAGGATCTTGGATTTTATGATTTATGACCTGAGACTCAACAAACTAAAAACAAAAATAAGTAAAAGGAAAATCCTAATTTTAATGACACTCACCAGTGGGTTGCTTCCCACCAAGCGCTTGGTTTAAGTCACTAGCTTGACTTGGTGATGGGGATCAGTCTGGTTGAGCAGGAGGGCCTGTTCCAAAACAAGCTCCACAGTCATACATGTTCAGCTTCAAAACCCTTCTCAACAATCCTTTCACAGCAGCTTCCCCTTTCTCCTTCAGCTCATGTGTGAGAATGGCTCTGACTTTAGAGAACGGTTTGGAGGTACCCTTGAACTTTACCTCATACTCAATGGAGTTCTCATCACACTTGAGAGGTATCAAAGTCATTGTAGGATCTCCCTTGACCCTTTTCTTCTGGACTTTCTGTTTCACCCTTGAATTCCCTCTGAATTTAGTAGGATCAGTGCTAGGATTTTTATCAGAGAACAGCATGCTCTCACCCTTATCACCATGCTCTTTCTCTGGAACAACCTTCAGCTTTTCTACATCAAACACTGAGATGCAAGAGGCGTGTGATGAGGAAGATCTGGTGGGTACAGCCTTGTAGAAAACTTTCTTGTTGATGTTGGAGAAGCAGACTCTCTTGTTGGGTGTATCGATGGTTGCTCCAACAGTAGCCATGAATATCCTTCCAAATATCAAAGACATCTCATGATCCTTTTTCATCTCAATAACTTGAAACTCAGCAGGAACAACGCATTCCCTACTTGAACATGAAGGTTGCGGATGGTTCCATATGGGACTGCTCTGGAAGAGTTTTCAAAGGTCAGGGTCAGCTAAGAACGCTCAACATCAGCAATACCCAAATCGTCTACAATAGCCTTTAAGACGTGATTCACACAAGAATCAGAGTCACAAAGAGCATCCTTGAAGGTTGTTTCTGCAATGGAACATGGGAAAACAACCTTTCCAGGATCATCAACCTTAAGCAATACCTTCAGTGCTGGTGTATACAGTGCTTTGGTATAGATGGCTTTAATCTCCTCTTGAGTCTCTCTACAGTTTTTAAAGAACTTGAGCAGTGGGTGAATCTGCAGAGCATCTTCGAATGCAAGTTCTCTAGGAAGCCTTCTCACCATCTTGTTAAAACCTGCCAGTTGCTCTTCACTAATGGGATCCATCAGATGTCTAGGTGGAATTGGGTAGGGAACCTTAGGAATATAGACTCGAGCTGGTGGAGTCTCAGAAAATTCGTCGGGAGCAGTCTCTGCAGAGCTATTAGGTTGTTATATTCTCTTTTATGTGCCTGCAGCAGTCTTAGCAGACCGCTTCTCCGTTGCTCTTCCCTCAGATTTCTCACATCTCAGCTTCGTTGCATTACAATGCTCAACCCTAGGATTCATCACACTCTTTCCACGAAGGGTTTCTTACTGCTTCTTAATAGTTTCAGAAGTTTGAGCAAGCTGCACATCGATCATCATTATGTGGTTGCTCAAAGTATCATATTTTGAATTCAGCTCAGCGAACATGTTGTCCATTCTGGTGTTGATCTCTGTGGTAACCTGATTCAATGTCTTCCCCTGAATTTGCTGACCTTGCAACAGTTGTTGCATCATCATAGCCAAACCTTTCAGATCATCTTGCGGACCACTGGCAATAGCTGGAGCAGCCTGTTGGTTGCTCTCTTGGTAATTATTCTGCGTGGCTTTCTCAAGAGTTGTCTCTCCCACAAAATAAATTTTTCCTTGGTTGTTATTCAGCAGCTGATCAACCTTCGCTGTCAATTAATCTATCTTCTGAGTGTCGACACTGGTCACCTTCTTGAAGCGATCTGTTTCTGGGTTCTTGTTTGCAGAACTAGCAGCCATGTTCTCTATCAGCTCGAATGCACCATCGGTGGTCTGTGTCATGAAAATACCTAAGAGGTAATCATCATCAAATCCATGGTGAGGGCATTCTCTGCGATAGTCATTGAAGCGCTCCCATGCGTCGCAAAAAGGCTCATCAGTGAGCTGTCTGAATGAGGTGATCTTGTTCCTTGATGTTGCAGTTCTCGCCTTATTGTAAAAATGGCCTAGGAACACTGATCGCACCTGCTCCGATGAAGTGAGAGAACTGGTAGAGAGAGAGTTCAACCACCGTGCAGCCTTTCCATCAAGACATGATGGGAATAACATGCATTTGATGTAGTCAGGTGGCACGCCATTCGCAAGAGTGAAACTGCAGACTTTTTCGAAGCTCTCAATATGCTCTATTGCTGGGAGACCACTGAACACCTTTCTCTTCACTAAAGCGATCAAAGCAGGCTTGATCTCGAAGTCCTGTCTGGTGCAAGGCGGAGGAACAATGGCAGAGCGCATAGCAGGGATGTTACGCAGAAGGTTTCTCTCACTGATTGGAGCAGCATGCGCCTGTTGTTCCTGCTGCGCAAGAGCAGCTTGTTGTTGGATGGTCTGCTGCATCTTGAGCATTTACTGTTGCATCAGTTGCATTGTTGCAGCGAGATCATCCTGATGGCCGTGATCACCCATGGTGGTGTTGGTTGGCCTTCGCTATTGTCTGTTCTCTCTTTCTAACCTTGCGAGCTCTTGGTTGCTGAGTGTACCCGTTGTCTAGATACCATAGGTTCTCGTTAAAAGGTCCAACATCGAACATACTTGGAGTGCAATTACGTTCGTTAAAGAACACAATCTCATGCATCATTAGCTCCTCTGCTTCTTGAGTTTGGGATCCCTTATTCTCCTGTGTTTCTTGGAGTTTCAACAAACGGTCTAGACAGTTTTGCGCAAAGTGTCCTATCTTTTCGCATCTGAAACATACAACTCTTGACGCATCTCTTTCTTGCCTGTAGTATCCTCCGTTCTGCTATTAACCGTACCGGCCACGACCTCCTCTTCCTATGAATCCATACCGACCACTTCTTCCTCTTCCTCTACCTGAATCATATCTCTCCTGATGTGAATCTGTATTGGTATAAATAAGTTTATCTTGACCTTGATCTTCAAGTTTCTCTTCCTCCTCATCATGGATCCTCTCTTCATATGCTTTTAACCTTCCCACAATATCCTCAAACTTGTCTTATTAAGATCGAGAACTTGCTCAAGTGCGGCTATGATGGTTATGTATTTATTTCGAGGTAAGCTCCCAAGAAACTTTGTCACAAGCTTGGTTTCATCAATATGTTCTCCTAGGGCAGCCGATTTGGTTGATAGCTCTGAAAGTTTTCCTACAAAGCTATCGATAGAATCAGACTCCTTAATCCATAAGCAGTTTAAATCGGACATAAGAGTTTGTAACCGTGCTTCCTTCACTCGATCAGAACCTATATTCCTTATCTTTATTGCTTCCCAAATATCTTTTGCTATTTCTAGGTTTCCTACTTGTAATATTAAAGACTCCAGTATGGATCGGAAGAGAAAAACTCTCACCATATCGTTTTTCTCTCTTTCTTATTCTCCTGGTTCAATGGTTTCCCAAACCTTGTGAAC